TTTTCACTGTTCTGACAATCCTTTTATGTCCACTCACGCAGAACCCCGCTACCAATCATCACAAGCTCGAAAACTTCAGTAGACATCAACGAGGTAGAGGGGCTTAGAGCAATAGACTGGTATTTCGCTAATTAGTGAGAAGTTACCGTCGTCTCCATGGCCATCTCCTAATGAAATGTCCGAAATTCAGGGTATTATGGAGAACGGAAACCTAGAATTTCAGTGCATACTATATCTTGCCAAAAAACACACACATCGTCATCAGTAAGAACAACAAACTCTAATCTACGGAAACTCAACAAGGTAAGCTGGGACACCTGGATTTTTCACTGTAACGTTAGAAGGAAGTTTTTCTCTTTCTTGTGAATCACAGCCGAAATACCCGAGTCAAAAGCGAGCTTTCGTAGATCGCTTCTTTATCTACGAATCTCGTAGCGGAAGTATACGCTGTTACTGAGCATGCGCACCACTAGCTTTGTCTGCACAATTCCAGGGAACATTTCCGGAGGCCGTAAGCTTGCGGGATGGCGGGTGCAGTTGAAACTTTCGGGGCCTTGTCAGCTTACAGGTGAACGGAGTGAACCTGTAATCTTTCTCTTAAATACGTTTTATTTTTACGAGAACTACCATAATACGAGCGTATGAGAAATGATAAGTAGTGCTGCAGAAATTTTTTGAAAAATATCAAAATAGTGTTTGTCCTGTCCGTCCTCTTTGTCTAAGTCTTTCGTATTTTTGAATCTATTACCAACGCGCTCAATCCAAGTTTGTTTCTATTGTTTTCTGGATAAGAGTGCGAAAAAAGTAACGTGAAAGTAATTTGTAATGTAATGAGTAAAGTAATCCGTTACTTTTCAGCGAAAGTAATTTGTAACGGTAATCCATTACATTTGAAGCTCGATAATTAGTAATTGTGATCCATTACATTATTAAAGTAACGAGCACAAGTCTGGACTCGAACAGGTTCAAACTCTTCAGATATGTGGGTGATTTCCTAATTCTGAGTACACAGGCTGACACACTGAATAGTGACGTGACAGAGGCGTTACAGATGTTTGAGTTATGTTGTAGTGGCTTGAAAATCACGCAAGCCGAGACAAAAGAAGCACGATTGCAGTTCCTGAACCGCAGCTTAAAGGGGAACTCCGCCGATATCTTCAGCTACCGAATCCAATAGCATCATCTGGAGGCGGATGGCTTGATCATTCCGGAATGCTATGTCATTTTTCCAGATTCACTCTATTTGATTAAAAACGCTATATTTTGTTTACTGCCGAAACCGAGATATCGTTCTTCCCAGCTTTTCCCTAGTTTTCTCTGACATCCAAACGTCACGTCCACGGCGGGCAGCGAGGTGCACGACCGGCAATCGAGTATACTCGCGCGTGCCTTTCTCGCGTCGAACAGACAGAAAACAGGGGCGTTCTTCCTTTCGGAAGTTGATAATAATCTCTAGTTGTTCAAAGTATGACGCTCGCTTACGTGCTAAATTATTAGAAAGTAAAAAAAGAAAAAGAACAAACAAGAAACCCGGAAGCTGCTGGACTTTTGAGAAGATCGCTTTTGCAATTCGGTACGCTCAAGACGCGGCTCGCTAGTTTCGTGAAACCGTTAGCAAATCCATTCTACTTCTACCAGACGCTGGCAATACAGCTGGCAGTTACTCTGGCAAGGATATGTCAGAGAGTCGCGCAATACATTTCTTGACAAATTACACATGCACCACGAATAATGCTCGGAACTTGGGTACAGGTGCCCCGCACGCTCGTCTTGCAGGAAGGAACGCGCCATTTGTCTTCGATTTTCTTTAGAAAAGTTATTGTTGCTTACGCCATCAGGTGTAACTATTCCTTTAGCATGAATGCGAACTTTGGTCCTGAAGTAATTTAGAAAAAAATATAGGAAACATTTCATGAACACGCTTCTGGTCGGTGCCATTTTCAGCCAACGTGTTTGTGGGGCCAACATTGCTCGACTTCGCGAACAACCGTAGGCTGTAATTGTCGCTGACCTTTAAAAACATAAAAAGGAAAGGACTGCATTTGTGCAGACCAGATGGTAGGTTACTGTTGAGAAAGGTCATGCTGAAATGAAAATTTAAATGAACACCGCAACTACCAAAGCAAAGATCAAGGTGCAATAAAAGGCGTAAAAAATACACAGATACACTAACCATTTTCAAATAAAGAATATTTTCTTGAAGTGCATGAAGTACAGATGTGCACCATCAAATTATTAATTCAGTTTAAGTTAAAAATTTTCCCAAACAATTTATACATTTTTGTTTGAAAACTTGAAGTGTGTAATGCAACGCGCTCAAACACTCATTCAAGAGCGCACATAGAAGGGGAAAAGGGGGTATTTCTATAAAAGATTTCTTTTTTAAATAGGTTTTGGGTTTTACACAGCCTCCATCAGCTGTACGTTTACGTGCCTTCCCTCAACAACAGAAATATTTTCATGATTTAAAAGCTTTTCAGCCCTATATTACCTTTCGCCACAATAAAATAAATATAGATGTATTCACCACCTCTTCTGCGAGAGAATATTGCACGCCAACTATCTGACAAACCAGGCAATGGCTATATCGTATATTAAGGATGCCCAACACCTGCTCCCTAAACCGTGCAATACAAGACACAAATAGCAATTAGTCGAAAGTCATATCTCAACTCAGACTTGAACTTGTTTTAGACGTTTCACTTCTCGTTTTCAACAGATGAGCCGCGTGAGTGGGAATCCGAGAGTAGCCCGAGCTAGATTCGCAATTGTAAACAAACAATGTGAGTGCGCGAAATGTCGCTTTTTCTCGACGGATATCGTAGTGGTATCCGACAGGTGGCTTATGTCTGCGCTTGCCGCTCTTCAGGTCGTTCCAGTTGCAGAAGGATACTCAATTCGGAACAAGCGGATATAATGTATTCCGAGAAAAAGGTGAAAATGTTTCACGTGACACTAGCTCTCGGCACACAAGTCGCGCACAAGCACCGTGACGTCGCTGGCCTCCATTGCTGCCGAGGAGCGCACCTTTTTCTTACAAAATAACAATTGTAAAAATAAAAAAAAGCTTTTCCCGGCACTGTTACAATCTTACGCGAAGCACAGATTGCTACCCATTGCAAAGGAACTTCCAACCTTGAAGCTGTGTAAAAATAATCTCGATCGCTGGCGTCCGAAAGGCCGTTTTCTTTTGCTGTCCGGGTTACTCGACCGACTGCCCGCCGGTGACGTACACGGGTATTTATTTATTATTTATTTCAAAATACTGCGACCTCGATGAGGTCATCGCAGGAGTGGAGAGAAAACATACATACACATTCAAAAAGACAATCGATTAAAGATGTACACACCCTACAAACAAAACTTAGAAAACCTTAAAAAATGCAATATCAAAAGATTACAAAAACAATCACATGCACTTCAAGTACAGATTCCAGGCACCATACCAGAACACCTACTGTATTTCTAACACAATCTTATCAAAATCGAGACAACGAATGGATCCATTTATGTTATTCCAGTTTTCTATCGTTCTAGGAAAAAAAGAATATTTAAAACAGTTATTAAGGTGGGCTCTGTATGGTACAAGATTTAATGGATGGAAGCTTCTAGTGCGTGATTCAGTAACAAAACTGACATATTTTTCTCGATTAAGTGTACAGTTATTATTCACTATTTTATGCAGGAGCTTGAGCCGTTCTACAGCGCGTCTAGAATCAAGAGGCGTAAGTCCTATGTCAGTCATGGCAGATGTAGGAGAAAAATTGCGGTCATATCTATTACAAATAAATCTAGCTGCCTTTGATTGTATTGCGTCAATCTGCTTTATATCACCTTTTAGATAGGGATCCCACACCACACAACCGTGCTCTAAGATAGGTCTAATCAAGGTCTTGTACGCCGTTATTTTAACTTCCCTAGTTGAAGATTTTAAAGTTCTCTTGACGTATCCTAGCCTTTGCAGAGCACGAGAACAAATAGAACTGATGTGCTTATCCCATTTGAGACTAGGCGTGAAAAAAATACCCAAATACTTGTATTCGTGAACTTGACGCAGAATTATATTACGAGTACCATAGCTAAAAACAGACGGTTCCTTCTTATTAGTAAATGACATAACTACAGATTTCTCAAAATTAATTTCCATCTGCCACTTTTTACTCCAATTCAAAAACTGTTCAAGAGAGTCATTTAGTAAGGCATGGTCATCTACCGAGTTGATTTCGTTGTACAAAACGCAATCATCTGCATAGAGGCGAATTTTAACTTGAAGACCATTTGCAACGTCATTAATATAAAGTAAAAACAAAAGAGGACCTAAAACTGATCCCTGTGGGACACCGGAACTAACTGAGACATTGCTAGAATGAACATCCCTGTATGAAACAAACTGTGATCTATTTTTTAGGTAATCTTCGATCCAATTAACTAATGACGTATTATTTAATATCGCTTGTAATTTCTGAAGAAGCTTATGATGTGGTACCTTATCAAAAGCCTTAGAATAATCTACAAAGATGGCATCAAGTTGTACTCTTTTATCTAAAGCTAAAGCTATGTCGTGAGTGAATTCAAGAAGTTGGGTTGAGGTGGAGTAACCACGACGAAAACCATGCTGTTGAGGGCAAAGAATAAAATTAGTCTCAAGGTACTCAGATATCTGTTTATAGACAATATGTTCCAAAAGTTTGCATGAAGACGATGTGAGCGAAATGGGTCTGTAGTTTGTGACCACCTGTTTGTTGCCTGACTTGAACAAGGGGATAATTTTAGCCGACTTCCATGACTGAGGCACTGTTGCAGTAGAAATAGATTTTTTGAAAATGACAGATAGGTATTTTGAACTCCAAAGTGAATAACGGCGAAGAAAAGAATTTGGAATTCCATCAGGGCCAGGGCTTTTCTTACAGTCAAGTTTCATTAGTAGATTGAGGACACCAGAAACACTAATCTCTAAATCAGATAAAGCTGGGTATATACCTTCAAAGAAAAACTCTGAATCATTGCCGACTGAATACAGATTTAAAATAATCATTGAAACAGTTCGCTATCTTTGTCGGCTCACTTACAGATTCACCTTCAATAGTAAAACTCTGTGATACACTACATCTTGGAATAATAGATCTCCAAAATTTGGCAGGATTTGATTTCATAAATTCAGACAAAGTTACATTAAAATATTTGGTTTTAGCTGTTAACATCTTTTCTTTCAAGGTTGTTTTCAGATATTCAAACGAGGTATGAACAACTGATTCTGTGTTATCTTTCGTTGAACGACGTCTCCTCTTCGTTTGCCGCATCAACTGCAGCACCTCTCTCGTAATCCAGGGGTGCGCAGGGTTCTTTTTCTTTCTAGTAACAGGTACAAATTTGTTGATGCATTTTTCTATAAGGGAGTTGAAATATCTAAGCAACGTATTGACATCAGCGTCTAGACTTATGGCACAAAAATCATCAAAATAAAAACTAAGTTCATCAATAATTGACACATCGTCAGCTCTGTTGAAATCAAGGAACGTGACGAATTCAGGGTTCGAACGCTTGACACGAATGTTAAGGCTGACAAGGACAGCTTTGTGATCAGAAATTCCCTCGACCACCTCGCAGTCATAACCTAGGTTTGCGATACTATGGGTTAGAAAAACAAGATCAAGAACAGAATTATCTCTGGTGCACGTTTTGACAACCTGATCTAGGTCGAATGACACAGCTATATCTACTAGAGCATCACAAATGGCCCTGTCGCGACAGCCAACCACTAGCGTTTCCCAGTTTATATCGGGTGCATTAAAATCGCCCAGCAAGATAAGCTTGAAATTCGCCAGATTGTATTTGTGAATGTAGTCATATATATCAAAGATCGTTTGCAGGCCCGAACTAGGAGCGCGATAAACCGCTCCGATAACAAGAACGAACTTATCAAGCTGCACCTTACACCATAAAGACTCTGTGTTAGGTAAACAGGGAAGAACCGAAAAGCTAATACCAGATTTAAAAAAAAGCGCGACACCACCACCTCTAGAAGACCTATCGCATCGTACCACGTTGTAATTAGGAGGTGTAAATTCGCAATCAAGAATGCCATCGTGTAACCAGGTTTCCGTAACACACATCACGTGCGGTGAATAAGAAGCTGCAATGCACGAGAACTCTGTAAATTTAGGGACAAGGCTCCGAGCATTAATGTTTAATACAGACAATGGTTTATTCGGTAACTGTCAGTTCGATCCGGTGGCAAGAACCGGAGGAGGAACTTTTATCAGCGTTCTATTTGTTGAATCCCACGAGTATCGGTCGTTGTCAACAAGAGCGTAGTCGTAACGTAGACGGACCTTTGCGCCATTTCTTCGGAATTCGGCAGTACTAAGCCAGAGTTGTTTTCGAATGTCTCTAATACGAGGTGAAAAATCCTCGTTAATAAATATCCGTGTGCCTTTAAGTTTAGAAACATTTTTGAGTATCCGCATTTTGTCACGGAAGTCCATCAATTTAAAAATTATAGGTCGTATTTTACCTTGTGCGGGGATACCAATACGATGACAGCGTTCTATGGCATCGCAAGTCACAGACAGTTTTCTGGTCAACAGTTCAGTTACACTATCCAGTAGTGATGCAGGGGTTTCATTAACAGGCTCTTCTAGACCATACACGACCAAGTTGTTTCTGCGAGAACGGCTTTCCAAATCATCATTCTTATCTGTAAGTTGACAGACAGCTGTTTCGAGAGCGGCACTCTTTCTTTCTAGACACTGCAACCGTCGGGCGATATCAGATATCTGGGACGAGCCAGCTTCGATTGCAACAAGTCGAGATTCGTAGGCGGCAAACTTAGCATCCAGAGCCTCTTGTCTGTTTTTGATAGAAGTAACGTCCGCAGCAATTTGTGTTTGGCCAGTTAGTAATTGCTGAAGGAGAGCTAGCGTCTCGGGGCCAGGGTTAGATTCAATATCGCCACTACACAACAGGATAGATGAACATATCCTAAACCATGACAATATATCAGAACAAATGCCAACCAGTGGGCCCGGTAGCAGCAAAAGAAAGCGATCATCGGACTTAAAACCGTCTGGCAAAGAAACAAACTCTACCTGTAGGGTGAGACAGAAGAAACTCAGTGGCACATTCGTCTCGCTGCCACCAAGCCCACTGAAGAGAAGAGACTGCGTCGATGGCTTTATGGCATCTGTAGCGGAAGTAGGTGTCGCTGCGGTGCTTCCGTAGAGGGTCCAATCCAGTGTTGCTAGATGAAGTGCAGGCCGGTCGTCAAAAGGTGTCGAATCATCACACGATGACGGGGGTTCAGGAACCAGAAAGCGGGAACTGGCGAACCCGTGCGGTAACAAATCCGCGGTGAGGCATACGGAAGCCGGGGATGACCAGACCGTTCCGAAGACAGCGATCTGTAGGGTGAGACAGAAGAAACTCAGTGGCATATTCGTCTCGCTGCCACCAAGCCCACTGAAGAGAAGAGACTGCGTCGATGGCTTTATGGCATCTGTAGCGGAAGTAGGTGTCGCTGCGGTGCTTCCGTAGAGGGTCCAATCCAGTGTTGCTAGATGAAGTGCAGGCCGGTCGTCAAAAGGTGTCGAATCATCACACGATGACGGGGGTTCAGGAACCAGAAAGCGGGAACTGGCGAACCCGTGCGGTAACAAATCCGCGGTGAGGCATACGGAAGCCGGGGATGACCAGACCGTTCCGAAGACAGCGATCTGTAGGGTGAGACAGAAGAAACTCAGTGGCATATTCGTCTCGCTGCCACCAAGCCCACTCAGAGAGAAAGTATGGGTATTTCATTATTAAAAGTGGAGAGTCGCCTCCTGGAACCCTCTTGGCCGGCGTAACTTGAAAATGCAATGAGTTCACGAACAATTTTTATTTGTATAACATACTTTGGCTACCAGTTTAGAAAGGGCTATGGATGCAGTCTGCCAACTTTCAGCCAGATCAAATACTATCAAAACATTTACGGAGTTTTCCTTTAAGTCTAAAGAATGACCATATACGCTGGATGTACGAGCTACTTTCAAAGAAGGGTATACTACACAAAAGAGATTAAGTGTGTTTGCGTCACTCACTCAGCACTACGCAAACACAATGAAGGTTTTTCTTTTTCGGACTAGTTGTGCGCGAGACCCCAAGGATTATGCCACCGTCATAAAAGAAAGTATAATGATGAGTAACGTGGGAACTAAGCGATTACTTTAGAGTAATTTTTTAATTACTTTTTGGAGGCTGTAATTGCAATTGCAAACGGTTACTTCTTTTCAGTAACGTGTGCAAGTCTGCTTGGGACACGGCTCAAAAGCGCCCGGCACGAAACTAAAAGCATCGTCTTCGACGGTACGGACGATGCATCTTTGGGTTTACTTGTCTGGTTCACTCCTCACATTACCGTCAACTGTCAACATAGAAATGGGGAGGGGGGGGGGGGGGGTTAGGTCATCTAATGAGTACAGAGAGAGAGAGGGAACTCGTAAAAGTGATGTGATCCTCATCCTCTATTGTTTTGTGAGACCAATGGCGACCACTTTTCTTGCTCTCTGTGACCTCACCTCCCATGGCCTCCACGAATATTGGTATGAAAGTGAGAACCGATAAAAGGATCGCCCTTAACTGCCACCTTTTCTCTGACTGTCGAGTTTTCGGTCGTGGAGTGTCCGTGGTCTCCATGGCCATCCCTTAATGAAATGTCCGAAATTCAGGGCATTAAGGAGAACGGAAACCAAGAGTTTCAGTGCATACTTTGCTTGCCAAAAAGCACACACATTGTCATAAGAAGAACAACAAACTCTAATCTACGGATACACATCAAGGTAAGCTGGGACACCTGGATTCTGCATTGGCTATACATTGTAACGTTAGAACCAAGTTTTTCTCTTTCTTGTGAATCGCAGGTGACATACTCGAGTCCAAAAGGAGCTTTCGGAGATCGCTTCTTTATCTACGAATCTCGTAGCGGAGGTAGACGTTTCTACCGAGCCTGTGCACTGTTAACTTTGTCTGCACAATTCCAGGGAACGTTTCCGGAGGCCGTAAGCTTGCGGGATGGCGGGTGCGGTTGAAGCTTTCGGTGCCTTGTCAGCTTACAGGTGAACGGAGTGAACCTGTAATCTTTCTCTTAAATACGTTTTATTTTTACGAGAACTACCATAATACGGGCGTATGAGAAATAAAAAGTAGTCTAGCAGAAAATTTTTGAAAAATATCAAAATTGTTTCTATTGTTTTCTGGATATGCGAGCGAAAACATAACGTAAAAGTAATTTGTAATGTAACGAGTAAAGTAATCCGTTACTTTTCAGCAAAAGTAATTTGTAACGGTAATGCATTCTATTTGAGGCTCGGTAATTAGTAATTGTGATACATTACATTTTTAAAGTAACGAGCACAAGTCTAGACTCGAACAGGTTCAAAGATTTAAGATATGTGGATGATTTCCTCATTCTGAGTAAACAGGCTGACACACTGAATAGCCACGTGACAGAGGCATTAGAGGTGTTCGGGTTATGTTGTGGTGGCTTGAAAATCACGCATGACGAGACAAAAGAAGGACGTCTGCAGTTCCTGGACCACAGGTTAAAGCGGAACTCAGCCGATATTTTCAGCTACGGAATCCAAAGGCATCATTTGGAGGCGGATGGATTCCTGATTCCGAAATACTATACCCTACCGAAAAATTCGGTATAATTTTTCGCTATCCGGATTATGGAACCGGAAATTTATGTGGATTCTATCTGGACTCTAACTGGATTTTAGGTTTTCATAAATTATTCCTTTGTCTGTAATCTGGATTTCGGGTTTCCAGAAACAAATTTCCGGTTCCATAATCCGGATAGTGAAAAGTTATACTGGATTTTTTGGTAGGGTACCGTTTTCCCAGATTCATTCCATTTGATTAAAAAAGTTACATTTTGTTTGCTGCCGAAAGCGAAACATCGTCCTTTCCAGCTTTTCCCCAGTTATCCCCGCCATCTAAACGTGACGTCGCAGGCGGACAGCGAGGCGCGCGGCCGGCAATCGGGTATGCTCGCGCGTGCCTTTCTCGCATCGAACATAGAAAAAACAGGGGCGTTCGTTCTATCGGAAGTTGATAATAATTTCTAGTTGTTCAAAGTATGACGCTCGCCTACGCGCTAAATTATTAGAAAGTAAAAAAAAAAAAAAAGAAACCCGGAAGCTATTGGACAGTATATACAGCGCCAAAAAACGACAGGAGAAAGACGAGAGTAAACAGGACGAGGCGCACTCGCAACTAGTTTATTTAGGAAAAAAACACATAATATATAGGCCGTTAAAAATGCCTATTCATCCCATCAATCCAGAAGACCTCTTGATAAAATCAAACTCTTTCCCTGAGAGGGCAAGGGAAGGCTCGCTAACGCATTCATCTCCCTTTGCTCTAATCTCAAACGCCTCGTGCACTTCTCGGCTTATTTGATCTTTGTACTTCGCCAGAACCTTCCCATCATGCAGAACTGTTCTGCATGATGTGAAGGTTCTGGCGAAGTACAAAGATCAAATAAGCCGAGAAGTGCACGAGGCGTTTGAGATTAGAGCAAAGGGAGATGAATGCGTTAGCGAGCCTTCCCTTGCCCTCTCAGGGAAAGAGTTTGATTTTATCAAGAGGTCTTCTGGATTGATGGGATGAATAGGCATTTTTAACGGCCTATATATTATGTGTTTTTTTCCTAAATAAACTAGTTGCGAGTGCGCCTCGTCCTGTTTACTCTCGTCTTTGTCCTGTCGTTTTTTGGCGCTGTATATACTGATCATGAACCAACTAGCCCAAATTTCTACTTTGCAGCTATTGGACTTTTGAGAAGATCGCTTTTGCAATTCGGTACGCTCAAGACGCGGCTCGCTAGTTTCGCGAAAACGTTAGCAAATCCATTCTACTTCTACCAGACGCTGGCAATTCAGCTGGCAGTTACGCTGGCGAAGATAAGTCAGAGAGTCACGCAATACATTTCTTGACAAATTACCCATGCACTACGGATAATAACTCAGATGTTTACCAACAACCTAACCAATGTATAACAATATGTGTAGTTTTTGCTTAACTAGTTTTTTGTAAGCATTCTTTTTGCTTTTTGTGTTATTATATGTTGCGCCAAAGTCATCTTTGTAACACTACCTTTGTCTATCATTGCCCCCCTCCTATGTAATGCCCGAAAGGGTTTTCAGGGTAAATATATAAATGAATGAAAATAAATAAAATAATGCTCGGAATGTGCGTTAAGGTGCCCGGTACGCTCGTCCTGCGTGAAGGAACGCTCCATTTGTCTTCGATCTTCTTTAGAAAAGTTGCTGTTGCTTACGCCAGCAGGTGTAACTATGATTTTAGCATGCCTATTAACTTTCATCCTGAAGTAATTTAGAAAAATATGTATGTAACATTCCAGAAAAGCGCTTCCGGTCGGCGCCATTTTCAGCACACGCCTTCGTGGGGCCAGCATTGTTCGACTTTCCGAACAACCGTAGGCTGCGATTGTCGCTGACCTTTAAAAACATAGAAAGTAAACGACTGCATTTGTCAGGGGAGATGGTAGGTTACTGTTCGAAAAAAATCCTGCTAAAATAAAAATATAAAAGAACACCGCAACTACCAAGGCAAAGATCAAGGTGCAATGAAAGGCGTAAAAAAATACACAGATACACTA